TGAATACAAGGCCATGTGAAGGCAGAAAGTAAAAACTGGGACATACCTGTAAAGTCCTGGAACTTTGAAAGCATTTCCCAAGTCACACTCAATTCAATAGCAAAGTGTGGAAGCCTTAGCAAAACATTTCATCAATCATAGGCTGACATTAAGCTATGATGACCAGGGGTGACCTTAGGAAGTCAGGCTTAATAATGAAAAGAAAAATTATCAAACAAACTTAACAGAGACACTGTATGCTGCATACTACGGGGAAACATGTCAAAGAACTAGCACAAGCCAGTCACTAATACACACAGCAAACAGGAAGAGCGTTTACTCCTAGGGACTGGGGAATCAGAGTTTGGTTAATACATTACATTATCTAAAATATCAATATTAAACAAAAATTATAAGACATGCAAAGAAACTGGAAAATTTTACCAATACATAATACATAGGAAAAGAAGAAGCCAACAGAACCTGTCTCTGAGGAGACAGGTTAAAATGATCTCATTTTAAATTGATCTCATTCTTGAGCATTCTCATTCTTGAGCATAATGAGGAAACACTCTTTAAGGCAGCTGAGAAAGACAGTGTTCAAGTAGTGGTTCTGAGATGTAAAAAAAAATAATAAGAGGGTGGGAAATATTTTAGCTATCTTGGAACATATAAAATTGTGAAAATATGTTGAGAAAGTTCTATACAGCAATTTCCAACTGCTGTATAATAGGTGTTCCAGAAAAAATAGACTAGAAAGAATATAAAATACAATAAAAAAGACTTTTTTTTTTCCTGAGGGAAAGGAAGACTTTAGTCTCTGGCTAGATAAGATTCATACAATTTAAAGGAAACAAGTGGAATTATGAAAATATACAAATTGTTATTTAGCTGTAGGGATGAACAGTTCTACTACAAAATCAGAAAATAAAATAGTAATAAAAATGATCTAATGGCTTCCAAGAGGGAAATAAAGTTTACACATAAAAGGGCAAGAACCAGACCAGAATCAGGTTTCTTATCTGAAATATCAGAAGCCAGAAAACAATGAGAAGGGAAAAAAGGCTGCCAATGTTAACACATGGGGAAGCAGGGTGTTGGCAGGAAAGGCAGTGTAAGGGAGGAGAGATTTGTACTGGGAGGAAGAGACAATGGAGAGAAGACAGCCTGAGCAGAAGCTGTGAGAGTAGACAGACACCAGGGAGAGGGACTGCTAACGATGGTGTTATTTTAAAACTAGCCTTGTGTGGCATGTTTTAAAATTTTCATTCTCACACCTTCCAAGACCTTCATCGCATTGTGAAAATTTTTGAATTTATATTTTGTTTATGTTTTGGTGTAGAACTGTGTGTGCTAAAGGACACAGATTCTACTACTGGAAGTTCAAGGTTCTTATTTCAGGAGGACATTGTTAATGTAGGAATGTTAACTGGGTCATGCTCACCAGTAGGTGGGGACATTGCACTTTAGGAATGCAAGGGAGTTGTTGCTTTCTCTCTTCTCCTTGCCTTGGCAGGTCTGGACTTGAGAGGCCAGTATTCCCTGAGGGGGGTAACTCAGGCACTCTTATTTCCTGAACTCATCCTTCCATGTGTTCAGGATGTGATGCAATCTGAGGTGCAGTTTTGGATGTTTGAGAAGCAGAGAAGCACCGCTGGAGCAGGAGTTAAAGTCTGCTTTTGTTTGAGAACTGAGGAGCTCAGTATTCTACATACTCTCGCAGGTAAGAGATTGCCACTATAACATCACATGCTTGAAACAAACTTCGCTGCTGTCATTCCAGTGCAGGCCACTATCTTTTTTCACATTGAGTGTTCTGCCACCATCTGCAGCATTCTTGATATTTCAGTAAGAATAATATTTTATTTTACAATTACAACTTTAAATTTATCAGGATACCAGTATATAGTTTGAAGAGCAAACAATAGAGATGTATTTTAATGAAAACAAGAGCCCTTCACGCCATTCCTTTCCTCCACTGACATTATCCCCAGCTCAATAGCTTTTAACAGCAATATGTGTATCTTTATGTGGGTGTATTAAGTCAGAATCCATTGACTTCCTATTATGAAAGCAAATAATTTAGACCACCAACAATTGTATGTCTCTGACATGCTTCTTGGGATTTTATTATCTTACTATGTTTAGTTCCTCTGTAGGTAATCCCCCCACCTTTTTTTTTTTTTTTTNCCCTTTCAAAAAGATGTATTTTTTATGACTCATTCGTGTAGGACACTGGAACCATATGAAGTGGCATTTCTTTTTCTATTGTTAAACAGAGTGCAAATGGCAAGACATTAATAAAGCCTGTAGCTCAGTAAATCCCACAGGATCAAAGCTATCTCCATTGAAGTTCAGCTTTATTAGACTGTTTGGGTCATAAGAGCAGATGATTTTAGCTGAATTACATAGCAAAAAGGGAAATTGGACACAGGCTGACAATCAAATTTAGAATGCACTTGAAATATAGCTTAGTGCATGTTGGACGCAGCAGAAGGAGGTGGAAAAGATGCAGTCTTACCAGGAAAAGAAGACCTAGGCTGGAGTTTGGTGCCGAAAGAATTAGTTGCTATTGAGGAGAAAAGTCCCCCCAAAAGATGAAAACTCAAAGAGGGGGCTGTATTCTCCATGCAAATTTCTTTCACATGCAGAAATTTGGGCTTTCCTCTATATTCTTATTTAAGATTTTCCACTCAAGTTCTACAAATTGTGTGCCACTGCACTCCAGTTTGGGTGACAGAGCAAGACTCTGTCTGAAATAAAATAAAATAAGAAATTTTTAAAAGTTCCACAAATCTTAAAGACCTAAGTTCTGACATATCTCTACTCACTTACCATTAGGAGAGAGAAAAATGTACTAAGAAAGGCAAGTAAAGAGGAATAAAAGAAAAACAACAGAGGGGGCAAAAACTAAAAGCAGCAAGGTGGTAGGCTTAAATTCAGTACTTCAGTAATCTCATTAAATGCATATTTCTAAACTGGATATATAAGCAAGACTTTTGACCATATACTGTCCATAAGAAATGCATTTTAAGTATGAAGACACAGATTAGAAATATAAGGATGAAAAAATATATACTGGGCATATACTAGTAAGAGGGCTGGAGTGGCTACATTACTATCAGACAAAGAAAACTTTACAAATAAGGAATAGTACTAGAGATAAACTTTTCACAATGAAAAAGAGTCAATACATCAAAAAGACATGTAATCCTAAGTGTGTGGGTACCAAATGTTGTATACAGATTATTTCCAAGTTCACATAGAAAATATATAAAAATATACCATATATATTGACATTAAAACATTTCCATGTATCTAAAAAGCAATGATAACATTGGACAAAGTTGCCAAAAAAACAGTCATTTAAAGACTCTGGAAATTGATCAAAGGACATGAACATTGAGAAGCATTTAGTTAAGAGAATCTATACTGGAGCCCAATTAAAACGGCAAAATCAGTATTATTTTGTCCAGAGTCTGCCTTCACCAACCCCCTCCACCCCAACTTATGGTGCAGAATTTCTACATGTGTGAGCAGGACAGGCCGTGGAATTAGACAGCTCTTCTACCCTGCCAGAGGGAGCACACATTGTTTAGAAAAGAGCGTGCACACACATGCACACACACACACACACACACACTCCGTCAAAATACTGTCTTGGGGTTTTGTAGAAGACAGTATAGATCTCAGGGCAAATAATTAAGGAAGGTTAACATCACAACTAGCTTGAAGTCATGATGGCAGGCCAGTCAGGAATTTTAACAGTGAGACCCAGAGAATGAGATAGTCAAAAATAGCCTTGCTAACATCTCATTTATCCCCAGTGGTGTGGAAAGCTGTCTGTATGAGCTTGGTTAAGCTTGCTCAGTAAAGACCTGGCTGAATACAAGGCCATGTGAAGGCAGAAAGTAAAAACTGGGACATACCTGTAAAGTCCTGGAACTTTGAAAGCATTTCCCAAGTCACACTCAATTCAATAGCAAAGTGTGGAAGCCTTAGCAAAACATTTCATCAATCATAGGCTGACATTAAGCTATGATGACCAGGGGTGACCTTAGGAAGTCAGGCTTAATAATGAAAAGAAAAATTATCAAACAAACTTAACAGAGACACTGTATGCTGCATACTACGGGGAAACATGTCAAAGAACTAGCACAAGCCAGTCACTAATACACACAGCAAACAGGAAGAGCGTTTACTCCTAGGGACTGGGGAATCAGAGTTTGGTTAATACATTACATTATCTAAAATATCAATATTAAACAAAAATTATAAGACATGCAAAGAAACTGGAAAATTTTACCAATACATAATACATAGGAAAAGAAGAAGCCAACAGAACCTGTCTCTGAGGAGACAGGTTAAAATGATCTCATTTTAAATTGATCTCATTCTTGAGCATTCTCATTCTTGAGCATAATGAGGAAACACTCTTTAAGGCAGCTGAGAAAGACAGTGTTCAAGTAGTGGTTCTGAGATGTAAAAAAAAATAATAAGAGGGTGGGAAATATTTTAGCTATCTTGGAACATATAAAATTGTGAAAATATGTTGAGAAAGTTCTATACAGCAATTTCCAACTGCTGTATAATAGGTGTTCCAGAAAAAATAGACTAGAAAGAATATAAAATACAATAAAAAAGACTTTTTTTTTTCCTGAGGGAAAGGAAGACTTTAGTCTCTGGCTAGATAAGATTCATACAATTTAAAGGAAACAAGTGGAATTATGAAAATATACAAATTGTTATTTAGCTGTAGGGATGAACAGTTCTACTACAAAATCAGAAAATAAAATAGTAATAAAAATGATCTAATGGCTTCCAAGAGGGAAATAAAGTTTACACATAAAAGGGCAAGAACCAGACCAGAATCAGGTTTCTTATCTGAAATATCAGAAGCCAGAAAACAATGAGAAGGGAAAAAAGGCTGCCAATGTTAACACATGGGGAAGCAGGGTGTTGGCAGGAAAGGCAGTGTAAGGGAGGAGAGATTTGTACTGGGAGGAAGAGACAATGGAGAGAAGACAGCCTGAGCAGAAGCTGTGAGAGTAGACAGACACCAGGGAGAGGGACTGCTAACGATGGTGTTATTTTAAAACTAGCCTTGTGTGGCATGTTTTAAAATTTTCATTCTCACACCTTCCAAGACCTTCATCGCATTGTGAAAATTTTTGAATTTATATTTTGTTTATGTTTTGGTGTAGAACTGTGTGTGCTAAAGGACACAGATTCTACTACTGGAAGTTCAAGGTTCTTATTTCAGGAGGACATTGTTAATGTAGGAATGTTAACTGGGTCATGCTCACCAGTAGGTGGGGACATTGCACTTTAGGAATGCAAGGGAGTTGTTGCTTTCTCTCTTCTCCTTGCCTTGGCAGGTCTGGACTTGAGAGGCCAGTATTCCCTGAGGGGGGTAACTCAGGCACTCTTATTTCCTGAACTCATCCTTCCATGTGTTCAGGATGTGATGCAATCTGAGGTGCAGTTTTGGATGTTTGAGAAGCAGAGAAGCACCGCTGGAGCAGGAGTTAAAGTCTGCTTTTGTTTGAGAACTGAGGAGCTCAGTATTCTACATACTCTCGCAGGTAAGAGATTGCCACTATAACATCACATGCTTGAAACAAACTTCGCTGCTGTCATTCCAGTGCAGGCCACTATCTTTTTTCACATTGAGTGTTCTGCCACCATCTGCAGCATTCTTGATATTTCAGTAAGAATAATATTTTATTTTACAATTACAACTTTAAATTTATCAGGATACCAGTATATAGTTTGAAGAGCAAACAATAGAGATGTATTTTAATGAAAACAAGAGCCCTTCACGCCATTCCTTTCCTCCACTGACATTATCCCCAGCTCAATAGCTTTTAACAGCAATATGTGTATCTTTATGTGGGTGTATTAAGTCAGAATCCATTGACTTCCTATTATGAAAGCAAATAATTTAGACCACCAACAATTGTATGTCTCTGACATGCTTCTTGGGATTTTATTATCTTACTATGTTTAGTTCCTCTGTAGGTAATCCCCCCACCTTTTTTTTTTTTTTTTTTTTTTTTTTTGAGACGGAGTCTTGCTCTGTTTCCCGGGCTAGAGTGCAGTAGCACGATCTTGGCTCACTGTAACCTCTGCCTCCTGGGTTTAAGCAATTCTCTACCTCAGCCTCCCGAGTACCTGGGATAAAAGGCGCATGCCACCACACCCGGCTAATTTTTGTATTTTTAGTAGAGATGGGGTTTCACCATTTTGGACAGGCTGGTCTTGAACTCCTGAGCTTGTGATCCACCCTCCTCAGCCTCCCAAAGTGCTGGGATTACAGGTGTGAGCTCTCGTGCCCGGCTTCCCTGTATTTTGAAACATAGTACTCTATTATTCAATCAGTTATATTCGAAATCTCTTGAGTTTTCTCCTTGTAGATGAAGATAACTGCTAACGCTTTTATTTCCTGTTCTACTTTTTTCTGTGTTTCATATCCCAACTTCTAGCATTTATAATTTATCTTTAATATTTTCAAAGCCAACAGCATTTATGATTTGTTTGTAACCATGTATTTCTTAAACACATATATGCTCACTATTTTTATTTTATTTATTTATTTTTATTATACTTCAAATTCTGGGGTACATGTGCGGAACGTGCAGGTTTGTTACGTAGGTATACACGTGCCATGGTGGTTTGCTGTACATATCAACCCGTCATCTACATAAGTATTTGTCCTAATGCTATCCCTCCCCTAGTCCTCCAACCCCGACAGACCCCAGTGTGCAATGTTCCTCTCCCTGTGCCCATGTGTTCTCATTGTTCAATTCCCACTTATGAGTGAGAACATGTGGTGTTTGGTTTTCTGTTCTTGTGTTAGTTTGCTGAGAATGGTGGTTTCCAGCTTCATCCATGCCCCTGCAAAAGACATGAACTTATCCTTTTTTATGGCTGCATACTATCCCATTGAGTATATGTGCCACATCTTCTTTATCCAACCTATCATTGATGGGCATCGGGGTTGGTTCCAAGTCTTTGCTATTTTGAACAGTGCTGCAATAAACATACATGTGCATGTGTCTTTATAGTAGAATGATTTATAATCCTTTGGGTACATACCCAGCAATGGGATTGCTGGGTCAAATGGTATTTCTAGCTCTAGGTACTTGAGGAATCACCACACTGTCTTCCACAATGGTTGAACTAATTTACACTCCTACCAATGCTCACTATTGAGAATATATTTCCTTTGTTGGACATCTTTTCATTTTCATGAAGGTTCCATTTGCAGTTTCTTTTTTCTCATATATATATATAGTCTACTTTTTATCACATCCTCAGATATTTTGAATATATCAACAATCCTATAAAATGTATGGGATCTTATCCTGTTTATCCACTTCCTGGTGCCCTTAGTTCTCTAGTTTCAATCTAAAAAAAAAAAAAAAATGATTTCCAGGATTGCTGAACAGATGTTATCTTGGGATTCTCTTCATTGTTTTTTGGTTTTTGGTTTTTTTTTTGATAGAAGATACTGTTTCAGGTATCTGATATTTTCCTCTTACTTGCTTTGACTACCTAATTTTGCTGAACCACACCTTCTGTTAATATCTAAAAAAGGATACACTGGAAGCACATTTTCCCAATCTTTGCATTTCTGAGAATCATTTTTATTCTAGATTCATGCCTGAATGAAATTTTGTGGGTTTATAAGTCTGGGTCTAGTCAGGAGAAAGAGGAAATCACACAGTAATGTGAAATGAGAAAGATCAATATGAAGAAATATGAGCCGTAACAAGGGATTTGAGTAATGAGAGACTGGCTAGACAGAAGTAAAGAGAACACTAAAGAATATAGCAGTTGCAGATATAATAGTGCATAGCATAATATGTAATAGCTACTTCCCTAGTGTATTAGTCAGGGTTCTGTAGAGGGACAGAACTAAGAGGATAGATGTATATATAAAAGGGAGTTTATTAAGGCTTATTGACTCACATGATGACAAGGTGAAGTCCCACAACAGACTGTCTGCAATCTGAGAAGCAAGGAAGCCAGTCAGAGTCCCAAATCCTCTAAAGTAGGCAAGCCAACAGTGCAGCCTTCAGTCTGTGCTCGAAGGTCCAAGAGTCCCTGGAAAACCACTGGTGTAAGGGAGAAAGATGAAGGCCAGAAGACAGATAAAGGAAGTCAGCCCTTCCACGGTCCTCTGCCTGCTTTTATCCTGGCCATGCTGGCAGCTGATTAGATGGTGCCCAACCAGATTGAGGGTGGGTCTGCCTCTCCCAGTCCGCTGACCCAAATGTTAATCTCCCTTGGCAACACCCTCACAGACACACCCAGGAACAATACTTTGCATCAGTCAATTCAATCAAGTTGACACTCAGTATTAACCCATCACCTAGGTTAAGACAGAGCATCCAAGAAGGAACCTTCTCCAGTTTTCTTTCCAAGGGTGAGGTCAGACCTTGTTAGGGAGACACATCCATGGCCCACTGAATGGCAGAGTGGTTGCTGTTGTGCTGCTGCTCCGGCAGGAGTTTGCTGGAATCCACCCTCTGGGACTTGTCAGAAATCCTTCCCTTACAGTGTTGGGGAAAGCTGTTCCTATAGAGTTCATGGAAGTGGGGTGGTGGTGGCCTCACCAGAGACTCTCTGCAGTAAAACTGCTAAAGTGGGTGCATGCCTGAGGAAGTTGCCGGGTGCTGGGTGTTGCTGGCTGCCCTACATTGCAAAACCTGGGTGCTGAGAAAGCTGCAAGAGTCTAGTGCTGGAGAAGCCAGCTGAGAATTTGCCAAAATTAAAGACAGACAAAAAATCACAGATTACAGATCTCCAAGAACACCAAGTAGGATTAAAATAATAAAAACAAAAAAATTATATTTAAACTGTAAAAATGTTGAAATACATAAATACTCTTTAGAAAAGCAAAGAAGGATGAAAAAAAGTACAAGTTATAGCATTTTATGTATTTCTTAAAATGGATATAACAGGTAGATATTTGTTAATATGTATTACTAAAGTTAGACAACATAGGAAATATATTTAGATATTTTCAATACATATACAAAGGAAGAAATAAAGTACTACTCAAATCAATAAAAAAGAGTTAAATAACCTAATAGCAATATTGGAAAATAGGTGAACGGGCAATTCACAAAACTCAAATAGCGTATGTAAAGATGATCAACTTTTTCTACAATATTTGACATAGAGTAACATTACGTCATTTTAGTTTAAAATTACACATTTATAAAAATTTGGGAGCACACCTTTTAAGGATTACTAATGAATTGTCTAAAACATTGTTCTAAAAGCTGATGTGGTTTCTGGAAGATCAAGTGTGAGAATATTCAAAGGCACTTTCATTTGTTGAACAAAACACCAAGTGGAGAGATTGAAGATCCCTGATTGCAAAAGGATCCAAGTGTTTAGAACAGAACTGAAATCCTGAATAATGGTTCTCTACATGTAGCAGGCAGAGCATGTGACTAGTGGAAAACAGGGGTTTATGTAAACAAAAGCAGCCTAGATTTGGGCATCAAATTCGTTAATTAATGTATCCATTCATTTGTCAGATAATTATTTAGCTCCTACGAAGTGCTGTGTACCACTTCATATAAAATAGTCAACAAGGTAAAAATGTCCCTACCTTTATGGGCTGTATCTAGCAGGAAAGAAAAAATAATCACATAATAAACAGATATGCAGTATTAGGTGGTGATTCTTGCTATGAAAATAAAAATGAAGAAAGCTGAGTCAGAGGATAGAGAAACAAAGGCTTACCAGTAGTAAATTTCTATGCAAGCCATGGCAGGCTCATTTCAAAAGCAGAAATATTTTATTATATTTTTCCTTGGGTTATTAGTATCAGACATGAGAATAGTGCAGTAAATCTACTACCACAGATTTTTGCACTTGTTCTTATTTGGAATAAAACGTATTGTCAAAGAATGAAGCAGGAAGACTGGGCTTATCTCCAGTCTCCTTGTAGTACAGAATATTGAGTCTGATGTGCAGACCAGCAGATCCTTTGCATATCACCTGCATCACTCCCTCATCCCCTCTATAAGCTCACAGCAGGAGGAACTATGTTCATGTACATAATGTGAACTCATCCCCTGGCAGCTCGTTATTGGTGCATAGTGAGCATCCGACTGGTCTAGGAAAAGAAGCCCTCCCCATAGGAATCTGAAATCAAGACAGGTGGATCCCATTTAAATCTATAAAATCCCTAGGGCAAAGGAGAGATGAACTGAGAACATCTTGGCAGGGACCATTTTGTACTATGTGAATTTGAAAGCAGAGATATGTAAAATAATGAAGATAACAGGCAGAGAAAATTAGAGATAAGAAGTAAACAGGATTTCTTGTATAACACACAGTGTACTATCCTTAGATCAATTCTTTTATTTATCTTCTTTGTCTTCTGTGAGTTATCCCTTTGTTATGATAACAAATTTTATCTTTTTGATGAATCGAACTCAGGCACCTGTGTTTCCCATGATGCCATGCTCTCATGATGGCTCTGATTTATTTAACATACAGATGATCATGAGTGTGGATTTCAGAAATGCAGTGAGTGGACTCAGTTACTGCTTGTTAGTGA